CCCCAAAACCCCAAAACCCCAAAACCCCAAAACCCCTCTTTTAAATAAAAAAGTTGAGATATAAGATGATTGTATATCTAGAGGAGTAACTTCTTGTTAAGGATATCTAGAAAGAATTCTCTGCTTCCTCATCTATCTTAGCAAGCTTTTTATTAGGTTCTTCATAGGACTTCATGGCTGTACTATGCTGATTTGGAATTTTAAACTGGTTGCCTAAAACTGAACTTTAAAAATTACGTAAACTCTCTTTCTGCTGTTCCTTTTCTAGCTTATCAGCCAAAACTTCTATATCCTCTGAGAAGTCGTCGACCATCTGGATCTTGGCTTGCTTTGGCTGGGACTGAGCCCTTTGCATGGTCTCTAAGACACGCTTACAGATGTCCTGGCTTGTCTGGTCCTCACTAACTTCTTGCCCAGAAGTAAAGATTGACTTATTCCTTCGGTGTTTTGACCTGCTTTTTATCTAAATGAGTAGATAAATCGGTAAGAAAGATAAGAAATTTATCCAGTTTTGTCGAATAATATCCAACCTTATCACCCACCTGGCTCGGTTGCTCAATCTGTAAATTCTTGCTCTTGGACTGAGACAGCGCCTCCTCTTTCTGAGCGTTCTATATTTGATAGTTTTGGGTGGGGCAAACTTTGAAATTCTTAAAAGTTCATTAAGAGTTAAGGTAATCTTATATGAATAAGTACACACTCTAACGGATTGTTTTGGATAGGCCGATTGAATCTACCCAAAGGAATCGTGAACATACCTTCCCTATTTTAGGACATGTGCCTACTTGCTTATTACTACTACATCTTCCGAGTGGATGTCAAAGAGGCTTCTTGATGTTAACAAACTCTAGGGACTTATTGATTTGGGTCTTTGGTCTAAAAGAGGTAAATTTATCAAAGTGATTGGATCAAAGTCTTACTTCATTTTTGGCTTACAACTTCCCAAATACTTTATGCTGCAATTTCTTATCGGATTATTCCTTTTACTCTTGCTGGCTATATAGTTTAATGTTATTAGCTGACTTGGCTGACAAATGCAACCTAAAGATAATTCTGCCAATAAAGAAACATCATATTTCTGTTTCCAAAGAATTTTGAAAAATATTAATTTTTAAGAATTTGAATGTTTGGTCTTTCTGAAGATCCAAAGGGTCATTTGTTTTACCTCTTATCATCTCCAAAGTATCATTGTCCATGGTTTTGTACGCATTAAAGGACTTTTTGAAGAAACTCCCGATATTTGCTGCCGAAGGAACACCTTTTGTTCTTCTACAGCCCTTGGATTTATCAGGATGCTTCCTATAATTTTTGATAAGACATTATCAAACAAGACAAAATAGTTTACTTTGATGGCCGATAGATATCTAAATCTAGTGAGCAAGTGTTAATGGCCTTCTTAATACTAGCTTTCATATCCATGGTTGACTTGGTAACAGCCTCAGGTTCATTTTTGAGTTTCCTATCCGCCTATATACATTTCAGCTCATATAGGCCAAATTGAGGCTTACTTGGCAGACATATTTGGGGTGTAATTTTTTATTTTTACTCCTCTTTATTGCTTCCTTAGAAGGAGTCTTATTTGCCCCGCTTACAGTGACTCTGCCTGGAAGCTCATACATTTATCAATAGATCTACAAGAGAATCAACCAGGCCAAAATCTGCCTTTAGTTTTGTAAAAATAGTTTCTATTTTGTAAAAGTCACATGAGCTGTCTTGGAAGCAATCTAGTTTCTGATTTCAGCTATTTTCAAAGCTTTCTGAGTAATTTGAGACTTCTTGATCGGCCTTGTCAAAGATGGAAATTAAGCTCATCAAAGCATCGTTCAGACTATATTCTTGATAATACAGGCAAACCTTTTAGTGAACCTTTTCTTACTATACTGTATTTCTTTGATCAATTTTGAAGATATCTAGTTCCAATAAGAGGCCATAATAATACCTGCTGGTTAGCATGATCTATAGCTCCCTTATGTACAGCCTACAGGTTATTAGTCTCGGAATAAAAGTTCGAACAAAGAAGGCAGATCCTACCTTAAAATCTGAGTTCTTAAGTCCATTATTTCTTTCTGCCAGTGTCCCTACAACTCTTATGACCTTTAGATTTGAATGAGGCCTGGTTATCAGGCTCTGGTCTATAATTAAATATCAGAAATGATGCTAAAAAGAGAGTAAATAAATGGTTCAAGACGATCTAGCATAGAATTGAAGAGAAAAAATAAAAACAAGAAATTTTAAAGTAGAGAAAAATTATTGGCGCCTCAAAAAGATATTCGGATTCTCTCAATTCACGATTTCTCTATCCAATCACACAGTTTCATTGTGGTTTTTTTGTGACTAACCTGAAGAACAATTTTGTGATAGATTCCATTTTTCAATAATTACAAAAGTCTTCGGGGTTTTGGGGTTTTGGGGTTTTGGGGTTTTGGGG